GTAATTTTCAATGTTTCCTGTAGTTATTTTTCTAGTATTAAATATACCCACTTTCCTCATGTTTTAGTAATCTTTTACGAATTATTAAAAATGATGTTACTCTCTGATGAAAGACTAACAAAGTACATGGGTTAGCCAAATATATTCTTATGGATTGTCTAGAGAAGTTGCTATACTAAAACAAGAGCTGGTGGTAAAATCGCTTTTCTATTTTCTCATTTTCCATAAAATATATCAGTTAAGAAGCAGGCCCAATTGCTTGCTGCTACGTATGTTGACAAATCAATGTCTTTGAGTCTCAGTCATCAAATGCCTTTCTATAACTCACTTAAAGACATTCCCTTCTGGTTAGTGAAGACACTTCTAGAATATGTCTGGTTTATCATGAATTGACTGTAAGGACAAATCGGGGATCCCGGTGCCAACTATACAGTAGATGCTTTCCCCTGTTTGCTTCCTGTATGTATTGCCAATAGTAAAATTATGTCATTTGACAAGAGAACAGGTGGAAAATAATTATTGTGGTCACAATGCTTTACTTTGATTCATTTAAAGAGGCAACACATCGTGCTCATATCTGGAAACTAAATTAAGACAGGTACATCTAGCACTGACTAAAATGTGGCCTTGGAAGTTATCCAGTGAATTATTTCCATATGGTCATTCAAGTTGGACAAAGAGGAAATGAAAGTATATAATTACGACAAAAAAATTAGAAACCTTTGAAACCACAAGATATCCAAATATGTCTGATGCAAGGACTTTTCAGATAAGTTTCTAAATATTTAATAGCAGTGTCTTAAAAAGTCTTTTTTAAAAATACTTTAGAAATTCTAATATTACATGTATATATATACTAGTTAAATATATAGAGTTTTCTTTCATTTCAAGCTAAATGCTATGCTATGGAAATAAATTTCAAAGATTAGCACTAATACTATAGTTTTATCTCATCAAATATGGTTTAGAACAATAAGGGTTAGAACAAGGCATTATGAATCTTAGTGTTAAAATGTGATAAGCCATTTAATAGTTTTGCCTTTAGAGACTTGGATATTTTTACAAAATTGAATTTAATTGGCCTTCATTTTTAAGGACCTGAGACTTCAATTCTTATGCTGATGTTTCTATGCTGCCTTTTAATACTTTGATCAACATTATAATTTATACTATCACTGAAACTCATTAAACTGAAATCAGCCCAGCTGATGGGGCTTGGTGGTTGAGCATCGACCTATGAACCAGGAGGTCACGGTTCAATTCCCAGTCAGGGCACATGCCCAGGTTGTGGGCTCATTTCCCAGTGTGGGATGTGCAGAAGGCAGCCGATCAATGAAACTCTCTTAGCATTGATGTTTCTGTCTCTCTCTTCCTCTCCCTTCCTCTCTGAAATCAACAAAAATATATTTTGGGAAAGAAAAACTGAAACCAAAATGAGCAGGAAGCTTGATAAGCTTATATTTATAATTTTATTTGTTCTATTGATTATTTCTTTAAAATTATCTCCATCGTCATCCCCAATATTGTATAATAGATCTGTATAGTCCTCTCACTTTGCTATACAGTGTTTGATCATTTCTGTTCAACTGCAATCCACTAAATAACACACATTTGTTAAAATATTCCTATTAAAGTGCCAAGAAACACTGTGAATTTTAATTCCAAATTTCACAATGTGGTTGTGACATCCAACCAGATATGTATGTTTAGTGTTCTCTTGCTATTTTTAGTTATTGTTGTAGCACAACAAAGAAGTCAGATGATATCTTTTAAAGAGCTGATCAAAACCCCATATGGTTTTTCTGGTAGTGGAAGTGCAATTGGAAAGCAAAATATTTTTGGATTAAAGAGAAAAGGCACAAGTTTATCTTTGCATAAGTCCTACAAAGAAATCCTTCATAAAATACCCCATTCTCAAAATTCGTTCCAAAGTGACATTAATTAAATATTTCTTATACAAAACAAAGCAGGAACTTTATTATTCCTAATTATTAAGAATTTAAGACAGGAAATGAAGTCAGTCAGACGTGCAAGCTTCCGTAACGTTTAAGACATAACTAATAAAGTGGTGTGTAATAGGATTAGAATCAGCCCTCTGCATCATACACCATCCTCCAGTATCCTTTGTTCTTTCCTTCCTGGATACAGAGATGATAATTGATAGCTGTGCTAGTCAGTATATTACATAACAGAGTTTTATAACCCACTGTTTGGAGGGTAACTGGGTATAGCTACAGTATGAAATGATTAATTGCTAAGTTATTTCAATTTAACAACCGTTGTATCTACCGAATACTTGTGTAGATGCTTCATAAATGCCCACATAATTTTAAAGAAACTAAACCACTCAAAATACTTTCCTGCACATTTTTGTTCTGTCTCTATAATCAATTTCCATGGGCTTTAGACCCCTGTGAGGAAGCCACATTGGAGACACAATACCTGCCATACCCAATTGCTAACTTGTAGGGGTCCGTTTCATGACCTAGTGAGCACATATTAAAAACATTCCATTCTTCATTCTATCCTGGGCCAGTTGGTAGTGCTTGTTACTAAACAGTGAGCCTAGAGTGCTTCAAAATGTTCCAGTTCTGCCAAAACGACCACAATCTGAAAGTAGCCAGGAAGTAATTCTAGAACAGTAGTCGAAGAGCACAGCTGCATGGCGGTTTAGTGGGACAGACCTGATAAATTTTATTCTCTTTTAAATAGATATTTAGCTACTGTTTTATTCTCAAGGGTCACACATACCCATTCAATATCTACTCTCTTTCCTAGAATGAAAATTAATATGGATAAACTAAATGTTAAATGTTATGTATATACAGATTAAAATATGTTTTTGCTATCAATAATGATAATTTAATTTAAAAATATCTTTACTTTCTTGTCTCTGCATTCTATTTCTCATGGCTTATGTTAAGCCATACGTAGTTTAGTAACATAATATTATATTTTTACCATAATTTTAATATATTGTTTTATAAATGAAAATAGAGAACTTTGATTATCTTATAGAAACCTTCTAGCACTGAAAATCAAAGTGTATACTTTTAATGATGACATTATTATATCATTAATAGTATTTTGACTAATTTTAATGTTGCCTCCATGTCATTAATAATAATAAAAACTATTAATCTCAATCCCTTTAGTATAATAGAATTTTTAATATGTGGTGAGGACTTTTGAGATCCATAATTCAGTTCCCATATTTTACAGATGAGAAGATTGTGATTCAGGGAGCTAAATGACTTAGTCCTAATTCCCAGTTTGCTAATTACTGCCCAAAATATACAAAGCAAGTTTTCTGACTCTTACAGTATTTTTATTAAAACACAGTAATAATTAATTAAGCCATTCTGTTATCTTTTATAATGTTACATATATTATTTCTGCCATTTCTGATACACACTATAAACATAGGCATTTAGTATTATTAAGTACAAGCAGAGGAATTTTTATTTCTTCATAGAATAAAGTCATTTTGGTAACCATACAGTCAATAATGAGACCAGATTAAATTTACCAACCTTTTATTTGGTGGATAATGTAAACCAATTAACAATTATAAACACTGTAATATGTGTACTAATCTAATTAAGCAAGTTCTCCTTGATATTTAAAATAGCCTTAAAAACATTTACATTGTGTTGACAATTTCTTTTTCATAGATGAAGAACTTTTCTCTGGAATGTATATAGATTTCATGGGGACAGATGCTGCTATTTTTCGAAGTTTAACTAAAAGGAATGCAGTCAGAACTGATCAACACAATTCCAAATGGCTAAGTGGTAAGAAAACATTTTATACATTTTTTTTAGAATTTTTTTATGCTTTAGACTAATTTGTTTAGTTCCGTAATAAAAATTAGGTAAAAAATGGTAAAAAGAAAAAAAATTACAGGGCCATGTCGTCAGTAACAGTAATTCTGACTTTATGATTTTAAAAGTTTACGATAAGTAAATAATTGAAATAGTCATATTCTAACTCTTTACTAATCACCACACAATTATTATAGAATATATAAATTTTAAAAATGACAGTGATATTCATCATACATGCTTGTACACAAGAATCCTCTCTAATTGTTTAAGTGTAACATATTATAATTAAATATGTTATTTATTCATTTAGATTGTATGTGTTAATAATGTCAAAGCTAAAAATTCTCTAAATTTATGACAGATAAAGTGAATAGGGTATATTCAGAAACTATATTTGTTTTATACTTAGATTCTAAATTATACAACTGGTATATATTATTTTTTCATAATTTGACTAAGATTTAATAGAAATCATAGGTATGATAATTTTATGATTATCAGTATTCAGCTGCTTCCAGTTCTTAGGATCACATGGAATTCACATCATGAAAGGTGCTCATTTGACTTTAATGCACAATTTCAATGAGTTCCTGTTGTTGAGAGGAGGAAGAAACCACTGAGGTCTTTGTCATTTCACCCTGGGGGAAAGTTCTAGCTCACCCTAAATTTGGCAATTTACTTACCATTGCACAGTTAAGCATGAATCACCACAGTAAAGCATCTTGTTTCACTGATAGGCCAGCACAAGAATGCGTTGATTGTCCATTTTCTTCTTCTGATTATTCTCTGGTACATCTGGAAATAGAATATCCTAAAAGTTGTTTTGTTCTTGAAATAAGGAATCCCTCTGTCTTCAAATGATGTCACTTTTTTCCTTGAAAAGTTTCCCTTTTATTTCATACACTGTGTTTTAAGAAAAATGTGTTTTTCAGATCTTGGACTCCCAACTCCTCATTCCATTCTGCTTCGGTGAATTTGAGTTTATATGCACTAGATTGAAAACCACACTTTGAAAAACAAACCTTTTTTCCCCCCCATAAAACAACTGACTGTCAGATTCCAAGGGAAATAACTGGTAGAATAGTTTTTCAAATTTTTAAAACTCATCAGTGTACAAAGATTTTTTTTTGCATTTACTGAACTTCCAGAATATATTGTAGACAGAGAAAAATAGTTTGAGCTGTCATAACTATATTTTGTGGCACTTGACATTTGAAATGCGGTATGTTGGCTGAATACAATTACTGCTTTTATACTTTTTGCCTATGAACATCAAATTATTGTTTTACACCAAAGATGGAGAAACCATGTGTCTGTGGTCTACTTGGATGAACAGTAGATGGATTTTTCCCATGAATTTATTACAGTCTTTGCATTTCTTTTCAGAACCTATGTTTGTGGATGCACATGTCATCCCAGATGGAACTGATCCAAACGATGCTAAGATTTACTTTTTCTTCAAGGAGAAACTGACTGACAATAGCAGAAGTACAAAGCAGATTCATTCCATGATCGCTAGAATATGTCCTGTAAGTATTAACATTTTAAAATTCAATTTATTTAAACTAAAAAAAAATAAAGCAACCAAAAAACACCCCCCAAAACAAAAACAACAACAGAGTTCACCCATTTTAACCACTTCTACCACACCTCACTCTGCCTCTTGCAACCACTGATCTGTTCTTGTATCCATGAGCTGTTTTAATGCTTTTGTTTAGGTCCCACATAAAAAGGAGATCATACATATCTGGCATTCTCTGTAGGACTTATTTCATTTAGCATAATGCGAATCCATATTATCATGAACAATAAGATTAGGCTGAATAGTATTATTTCCCTGATAATTGTGTTTATATGCCTCATTTCTTTATCCATTCATTTGTTGGTAGACACTGAGGTTGTTTCACTCTCTTGGCTCTTATAAATAATGCAATGGGGTCATATATCTTTTTGAATTAGTATTCCATTTATTCAGATAAATAACCAGAAGTGGAATTGCTAGATTATTTGATAGTTCTATTTTTAATTTTTTGAGG